TCTCCTATAAACATTGGGGGTTGAATCAATCACCTATGGCCAATGGTTTAATCCATCATCTATGTAATAAAGCCTCCATAAAAACCCACGGGACGGGGTTTGGAGAGCCTCCAGATGTATTTAAAATGACAGCTAGAGAGACGATAGTATTGGTGAATGCTTCCACGTGCTGGGAGAGGGCCGCCCCTCCGTGCCACAGGGACAGAGCTCCTGCGCTCAGGATCTTTCTGGAACCTTGCCCTATGTAACTCTCCATCTGACTTTTCATCCGTAACCTTAATAACAGCCTTTCTCATAACCTGGCAACCACAAGCAACTGTCTCCCTGAACTTTGTGAGCCATTCTAGCATGTTATCAAGTCCAAGGAAGTGATTATGGGAACCCATTTTATAACTGGTCAGTGAGAAATACAGATAACAACCTGAACTTACAACTGGTGTTTGAAATGGGGGCTGTCTAGCCGGATGGGCCCTTTGCCTGAGGGGTCTAATCATTATGCTATTTCTAGGTAGTATCAGAATTGAGTTAAACTTGTAGAACAAACGAGCTGGTGTCTGCTGAGATGGAGAATTGCTGCATGTGGGAAAAACTCCTATATATTTGGTGTCAGAGAGTGGGGAAGAAAATGCATTTCCTCCTGACAAAGCGTTAGATAGCAGGCTGTATTTTACAAGACGGTTATTAAGAGACTGTATCCGGTTTGGCTCAGTGGATAGAGTGTCGGCCTGCAGACTGAAGGGTCCCGGGTTCAATTCCGGTCAAGGGCATGTACCTTGGTTGCGGGCACATCACCAGTTGGGGCTGTGCAGGAGGCAGCTGAAAGATGATTCTCTCTCATTGATGTTTCTAACTCTCTATCCCTCTCTCTTCCTCTCTGTAAAAAGCCAATAAAATATATTAGAGAGAGAGAGAGAGAGAGAGAGAGAGAGAGAGAGAGAGACTGTAGCATTAGTGGGGTGTTAAACAAAGAGCATTGGGAAGCAGAGAGTCCAAAAACAGGCCCGTGGCTGTAGGGATGCCTGAATTTCGATAGGGATGATACTGCAAGAAAACAGGATATGAACCATGTTTTTAATAATGGTATTGGAGCAAAAGGATATTTTTATGAAAAAGAAATATGGCTCTTGACCCCTATCTTACATCATACACTAAAATCAAACCCAGATTGATATCTAAATGTAAGAGGTAAAACAATAAATCTTCTAAAAAAGAATAGGAGAACTGTGGGTGGGCAAAGATACTTAAAATAGGATACAAACACCACTAAACTTTAAGGACGAAATTAATAAATGGGGCTATGTAAAAGTTAGGAATTTCTCTCTGTGGTAGGCAGATAGACAGACATGAGCAGAGCAAGGACAATGGGCCTTGAAAGTCACCAGGGCGGAAAGCCCCAGGCGCCTAGAAAATGTCTAACCTGGGAAAACAAAGACCTCACCCCTGGGGTAACCTTTTCTCCCTCTTGGTCATGGGAGTTAGACCTCCTGACCTTTCATATCGCTGGTCATGCAGTTGGGACCCTTCCCTCATTTCCTCCATTTCCTTCCCTGGCATGTTGCTAGTCATGCGAGTTAGACCCCCTTGGGGCAGGGAGGGGTGACCGAACAAGAGGATGAGAGAATAGCCCTTAAGCATGAAACCCCAGGACAATGATGAAATTCTGACTCACATCAAAAACGTCAAGGCCTCGGTTGTGTTTCAGCTCCAGGCTCAGAAAAGCAGCAAAACCAGGCAAGCAACCATGGCTGACCTCAGGGCCAGCTGCATTGACTAATGACCCCCTGCCCTGGTGCTGACCCATCAGTGGAGACCACAACCCTAGAAGGACACACTAGAAAGCTGATGAATATTCTAATGAGATTCTCCCCTGAGACCTCCAGGCTGAGGACCCAGTGTGGCTCTTTCAGTGCCTCTCCCCACCCTTTCCCTCAGTCTATTTTCTTTGCCTCTCTCTTTCTCCTAAGCCCATTTCTTCTACCACTCACTTATTTTACCTCTGTGACTTTCTAAGTAAACCTCCTCTTATAGTTTGAGTCTTGGCTCTGAATTCTTTCTTTACCAGGACTCAAGTACCCAGGTTGCTGAACCGAGGGCTGGTCTGACCCCACCGGTCTAACATTTGGTGTTGTTCTCACGGCTCCCAGCATCATCTCTGTCAAACAACTACTTGCATTTCAGAGATACAGAAATTGAGGCTCGGAGATATCAAGTACATTGTGTCCCAGCTGTGTCAGCTGGGTGTGGGGGCTCCCCAAGTGAGTGCAAAGCAACAGGGAGGGGCTGGTCAGGAGGGAAGAAAGCCCTCTCTTCTTTCAAACAGCAGGAGTCAGCAGGAGTCCCAGAAGCATGAAAGAGGGATACTCTGGGTCAAGTCTCTCCATCTAAGGGACATCAATCCCCAGAAACGGGATGCAGAGAGGCAGAGATCCTCCACGGTGGTATTGGGCCGGTCAGAATGACAAAGCCGGGCCCCAGCCTCACAAACTAACTCTCTGCCAGTTTTCCCCTCTCTGCCTGCTGGTCGCTGGCTGAAACCAGCCCCTGCCTTCATTCTCTCCTTTGGTCCCCATTGAAAGCACTGAATAGGAGGTGGAGAGGGAGTTTGGAGGGAGAAATTCAGTGGGTAGGAGGAGCCAGCTGGGTGGGGCTGAGGAGAGGGGTGCTAGGGAGTGGTTCTGGAGCTGTGGGGAGGGGGTAACCTAGCAACCACTGCCTTATGCAGTCACACAGCAAACAGTCTTGTCCACTGAACCCCAAACTCCCCCTTTGTCCTCTTGCTCCTTCCTGCTCAGGGAACAGGGGCCTCTCTCCCACATGCTGTAGAAAGTGTTTGCCTCGGTGAGTCCAGGGGTCTTTCCAGGGGAGGAAATGGACTTAAGCCTGTGTGGGGCCCAGGGGAAAGGGAGTTCTGTCTAGGATTGAAATGAGTGTTCAGAGTCCTTGTGCCTGACTGGCTGGGGGCCCAGAGAGGAGGGCAGTGGGGGGAAAGGCAGGAGGAACCTCTCTACAGTTGGGGGTGTGACCCTTTAGGGTCTTATAAAATTGGTTTAATGGATCACCCCTTAACATTTACAAGAAGCAAACAAGTAGGATAAAAATATCAGTGAGCATCCTATGTAGCAGGGTAAGGATTGCTTTCGTTTCATGTACACACAAGCATGTGCACATGTACGTGAATGGAGTGGTGATGTAAAAGTTAAGTTTTCTTACCATGGTCACAGTCAGGAGCACTTGGAAGTGTCTGTTTTACCGACTACCTTTCCCTGCTGGCAGGTGCATCGGGGGCTTCCAGATGCCCTGCTCTCCAGCCTGCAGCCTCTCGGTGCTCTAGAGCGCAGCCCGCGCGCCCCACCGCCCCCCTGTCCAAAGCTTCCTTCAAAGGAAGCTCTGCCAACTGTTTCCCTTTTTCTTTTTTTTAAATATATTTTATTGGTTTTTCACAGAGAGGAAGAGAGAGGGATAGAGAGTTAGAAACATCGATGAGAGAGAATCATCGATCAGCTGCATCTTGCACACCCCCTATTGGGGATGTGCCTGCAACCAAGGTATATGCCCTTGACCGGAATCGAACCCAGGACCTTTCAGTCCGCAGGCCGATGCTCTATCCATTGAGCCAAACCAGTTTTAGCTGTTTCCCTTTTTCTGCTGTTGTTGTTATTCTGTTTTTGTTGTTGTTGTTGTTTGTTTGTTTGTTTGTGTGTGTGTGTTTTGTTTGTTTGTTTTGTGTGTGTGTTTTGTTTATTTGTTTGTTTTGTGTGTGTGTGTGTGTGTGTGTGTGTGTGTGTTTCGTGTGTTTTTTGGTATGTTTTTTGTTTTGCTTTTATTTGTTTTGTTTCTGTGGGGTGTTTTTTGTTTTTTTAATGGTTGATTTCAGAGAGAGGAAGAGAAAAGGAGAGAGGGATGGAAACACATTGATGAAAAGATTCATTGATAGGCTGTCTCCTGCCCGCCGCTTATCAAGGATTCAGCCTGCAGCCTGGGCATATGCCCTGACCAGGAGTCAAACTGTGACCTCTCAGTTCACAGGTCAATGCTCAACCAGAGTCACACTGGCTGGGCTGTTTGGTTTTTCTTTTTTTCTTTTTAGAGAAAAGATCAGGAGCCTGAGTCAGATTGCCTGGTTTCTTGCCTCGGGGTCTCTCCCCTTCCCAGATCTCAGGCAATTCGACATCCTCCTCCATCTGAACTTGATGAGAGCAGTCCCTGCAGGGGTCTCTGGAGTCCCTTGCAGATCCTGTTATTATGGGGGTTAATTCTCAAAGTGCACTGTTTCCTTTTCTAACTCTATCCTGACACCTGAACCTTCCCCCCGCCCCATTTGGGTTACGGGTTATATGAATATGTATATACATTCAGGTCCATAGATTTAGATCAATTACCATTCTTGGCATTGACACCTGTCACCTTTCATCCATGCCAATTAGTTTATTTAATACTATAATGGACACTCATAAGTGCACCTCCCAAACCAAGAATGAGGATATCACCACTAACACATCTTATGTGTTCTTCTCCTCACTCTCCTCTCCCTACCTGCTCTCAGAAATAGCCACCAGCTGAATTCTGCGTTTAACATTTCCTTGCTTGTCTTTGTTTCATCACATATTTATGATACTTTTACTTGCTTTTGAACTTTATTTTTTATAAGGATCTCAGGCTACATGGTCTTTTGCCACTTGCTTTCCTCATCTTAGCGTTAAAGTTGCAAGTCGCTTCCATGTAGCTGTGTGTAGCTGTGGCTCATCCATTTCAATTACAATGTAATGCTCATTGTCAGAATGAACCACAGCTTGCTTATGCACTCTTCTGCCATTGGACATTTGGATTGTCCCCAGTTTTTACTAATCTGAACCATGTTAGTCTGACTAATGTTCCATTTTGCAAGATATTGCCGATGCTTTTCTCCCAAAGTGTCTGTTCCAGTTTATATTCCCACTGCCAGTCTATAGGATGTTCTGATACATCTTCAACATGGATCTTTTTTCTCTTAGAAACCTACAATGTCTATGGAGGTGAAGATCCAACCAGCTGAACAACCCCTGGCGAGGTGAGGTCCCAAATGCCTACCCTGTTGACCGAGGAGGTGGTAGGGTCAAAGGGGGCCTCAAGGGAACTCAACAGACTGAGAGTCCAAGAAAGGCAGTCTTTCCTCACCTTCCACTGCCATCAGCTAGGCCCTGATTGGAGTCTCAGGCCTGAGGTACCACAGGTCTCAGGCGGGAATCCTCTCTGGATGGGGAGAGGATGTGCTGGCAGGGGCCAGGAGCACTGAGCACAGAAATTCCAGGGATTTTCAGGTAGTGACTTTCTCTGATAGTTGGGTTTGGGGAGGCCAGCTAACAGTGACTTTCAGAGAAGGTTTGCTTTATTTTTTTAAGTCCCAGATCTCTTAGAGGCGAACCAAGGATGGAACGGGAAACTCGGGGGCCTGATCAGCGAAATCCTCAGAGGGCCCAGAACACCTTTCTTAGCATATCCAGAGTCCATCTGTACCACAGAGGGGATCCCTCCAGCCAGGGTCACCGGGAGAAGGGAAAGCCAGGCACCAAGCACCAGCCCACCGTTGGATCCTTGCTGGACAGACTTCGACTTCTTCCTCCAGGGGCAGAAGCACAGCATCCTCGAGAGGGCAGGGGTGCAGGGTGGAGGACAGAGAACCTGAGACGGATTGTCTCCAGTGAAGCGAAGCAAGAGCTTGAAGCTTCCCAGCAGCGTCGCAGCTCTGAGAGCTGTCGCATCAGCTGGGCGTCTCCTGGGAGGGCCCCACGGGGAACAGGCTTGCTGGTGTAATCTGGCCTCGGGGACAGCTTTGACCTGCAATGCTGTGTCTGGGCCAAAACTGCCCCTGATGGCGTGGGGGAGAGTGACAGCCTGGAGCTGGCTTCTCCTGGGCAGCCAAGAGTTTGGCTTGGGGAGAGGCCCTTGCTGGGGCCAGCCCTCTGGCTCTGGAGGTATATATAATGTGTCTTCACTCCAATCCAGACATTTGGATGACTGGTGGTCTATAGCTTCTCTTTCTGGCTGCAGAGATGGTCTGTGAAAGAAAGCTGGGGTCCTGGGGAATTCTATCTGAGTTTTCTCAGATGGATCCCAGCTCCCTACTAAGGCACCCGAGGAAGACAGAAGCCTCCTTGGGACTGGATTGTCCCAGTCGGGAGGAGACCCTATGGGAGGCCCAGCTTGGAGGCCAGGGGGTGGCAGAGAAACCCTGGAAACCACATTTCAGAGTATCTCAGGAATGGACTCTGAGAAGCCCTGAGCTGGGGCAGACACCATTGCCAGGAGGCCTCATTAGCTTCTCCTTGACCTTCTTCTTCAGTCCGAAGGCTGAGCCAAAGGCTGAGAAGTCAGAGCACAAGCCAAGAAGCCAAGGGGTTGAAGGGCCACAGAGAGGAGCTGTGGTCCCAGGGGTCGTGGATTTCAAGGTGGTCTACGAGAAATTGAGGCCCGCCAAGCCCGAAACCCCTGGCACCTACCGCTTCGGCCGCCTCAGCCACAACTCTTTCTTCTCCCGGCATCACCCTCACCCCCATCGTGTGACCCACATCAAAGGTAGGGTTGGGGTAGGCCAAGGCCTGGTGGGCAGTGGAGGAGGGGCACTCCTAAAACCTGGAAAGGGAGGATCCAGCCTCCATTTCTAGGGTGAGGCCCAGAGACAAAGGGGACTTAGCCAGAGTCACAGAGCTGCTTCGCCACTTGCAAGCACTTGGCCAAGTCAAGAGTTGCCTTGGGGGGCAGGCTCCAAGGGCAAGCTACATGTCCCTACAGGATTTCCCTTGCCTTACAAATCAGAGAAAGGAATGAATGTTCTGCCTCAGAGCTGCACTCGGTTTGCAAACACAGGCCATTTCCTCCCTCAAGTATCTACTGAGGGTGAACTGTGCCTAAGTCAGTCACTTTTTTGGACTCTGGGAATATGACAGTGACCAAGACAGTCCCTGTCCTCATGGAGCCGACTCTCTGGTGGGAAAGAATAGGAAATCAATGAGGTGTCAGATCGTGGGATGTGCCAAGGCTACAGAGGGAAGACATGACCAAGAAGCATGACTTTTGAGCAAAGAACTAAAAGAAGAGAGAGCATGAATCAATCATGAGGATATGGGGGTTGGAGGGAGGACGTCCTGGGCAGAAGGAACAGCAAGTACAAATGCCCAGCAGCAAGGAGGCCAATGTGGCTGGAGCTGAGTAAGGAGAGAAAGGAGATGCAGCAGAGGCAGTGGGGGCCCAGGTCATGTGGGCCCTGGAGGCCACTAAGCCATCTCACTGAGTCAGATGAGGAGCTGAGAGCAAACAAGTATCAGGAGTGGCCTCTGTCTGGGTGGTGGCTTGGACCAGGAGGTCATGGTGGAAGACTTAGTGGTCCAGCTCTAGAGATATGCAGAAGGTAAAGCCAATAGGATTTGATGATTGATTAGAAAGAGGATGAGAGGAAGAGGGGGATCAATGTTGACTCCTGGGTTTGAGGCTGGAGTAACTGGAAAACTGGGACAAAGAGACTTCAGAGGGGACCCAGTGGAGGCTAGGAGACCAGTCAAGAGTTTGGTCTAGGACCAAGAGATGCAAAATGTGAGATCCTTTTAGACACCCAGGTGGAGGCACAGAGGGGGCAGTTGGGTCTGGAGTTCAGGGGAGAAATGCAAACACGAGAGGATTCAGGTGCTGATGGTGTTTGAAGCGGCGCCTTGATGGGATCATCCAGGACACTGTGTAAATTAGGGGTGTCGAACTCAATCAGAGAAGGAGCCAAAATCTAAAATCCAGCCTAAATCGCGGGCCGAATGGTTTACTGAACAGTCATAAACTGTCATTGTGATGGAAACGCAGCGGAGTGCAGTGATGACAGCGCAGTGCGGGCCACATTGCAAGGCCTGGCGGGACGGATTTGGCCCGCGGGCCTTGTGTTTGACACATGTGGTGTAAATACAAGAGATGAGAACGTGGGGACAGAGTCCCAGGGACCCCAAGGCTCAGAGGCTGTGAGGAGGAGTACGCAGCAGAGGAAATGAGGAGTCACTGGTGAGCTAAGACAAACCAGGACAGTGAGGGGACCAAAAGGAAAGTGTTTGGGGAAGGAGATAGTGAGCAGCCATTCTGTCCTATTCAGGCTGCTCCTCAGAGCATAACTGTCTAGTAGTAATGATATCACACAGACCTTAGGCCGAAGGGTCTTCATGTGCTAACTGCTGGCCACCATCTCCAGGCTGCCTGGTACTCAGCTCTGCACAGGCTGACAGGCGGCGAGACGTTTCATCCAGGGTGTCTAGATGACCTCACTCCCTGTGGTGTGAGCCCAGGTCCCTCCCCACACCCAGGCGTCCCTCTTGAGGCTGCTTACCTCTCTCTGCTCACACCTGCAGTCATTGCTGTCATGGAAAGCCAAAAGGACCTCAGGACGAGGGTCTCAGGGGCCCGACTTGCTGCGTGACCCTGAGCCCATCCCTTCACTGTCCATTCTAAGGGCCCCAGGGGATAAGGTCTGGGGGGCTGCACGCTCTAATGATCTACAGGCTCTGGATAGAGGAAAAAGAGGGGCCAGTGCTCCAACAACCTCCTGGAGCTATTGGGGTCCACCCAGCCACCCCTTCCCACAGCCTCTGTCCCCTCACAGATTTCATGGGGAAACCTGTCTGCGTCGTCAAGGACCAACTCTCTCTGGCTTCCTTGCCTCAAACTGCACCCTTCTCCCCCTCTCTGATGAAGATGCCTACCCTCTTTGTCCCCATTGGAGACCCACAGTCCAATCGAGACCCCCAGCTTTCTTCAGGTGGGTACTGGGGCCAGACCCTTTACCTTGGGGTAACACCTCTCTCCACGGGCTGTCCCGCTTGGGTGGGTGCCTGAGAAGGAAGTGAGATCTGGTCAGGTACCCCATTTCCCCCGGCTTTGGCATCTGCATTAGTCTCCACCCCCTGAGATCTCAGAAATGTGCTTGGATTTGAGGTGTTTGAGGAGTAACCACAAGCAGAGGATAAGCAGATTTGGGCAAGTCACGTGACTTCAGCTTGTAGAGCAGTGTTTCCCAAACTTTTAACATATGTGTACCCCTTCTATAATTTTCGTAACGCCGAGTACCCCCTCGTACTCATGAGAATGTAGAATTAGGTGCAGCTAAGCACGGTGCAGTGCATATCCCCACCAAACTCTTCCGGTACCCATGGGGGTATGCGTACCACACTTTAGGAAACACTGTGAGGAATGATACTGGAAATAATTAGTACTTGTATCAGGCACCAGCCATTAGAACCGCCTGCCATACACGACACCTGGGCCTCGCTCTGAGGCCTCTGCTCCTCAGGCTGTGCCTTTTCTGTTAGGGGTGCAGGGCAGGGGCTGGGACAGCCTGCAGGGCAGAGGTTTGGAAGGCTTGCTCCGTGCTTTGTACCGCCCCCTGCAGGAGCAGTTCCATATTTTAGTAACTGGCACTGCATATCAACTGAATCTCCATCTTGGCTTCAGTTTCTTAAAAGAGGCAAAGCTAGATTAAACACTTGTATTTTGGTACAAATAACCAAATAAGTTCCCATGTCTCCCATACAATCACAGGCTAGGACATTAAGGGCCTCCTCCACACCCACCCTCCCACCCCAATTACCAATGATGTAATTCCTAATCCTTCCCCAAGGGCACCATCTCCCCTCCCCTTTAAGGTGCAGATGGAAGGCTGGGAGGAAAGGAGGCTTCCCCCCCCCCCGGACCCCCCCAGCATCCCCAACACCTGGTGCCCCAGGGAGGGCGAGGAGGAGGGGCCCAGACAGCAGGTGCCAGGGTCTTGTCCCTCCCCCCAGAGGCCTGGAAGAAGGAGTTGAAGAACCTGGCTTCCCAGGTGGTCATCTACACCAAGGAGAAGGAGCCAGAGAACAAAGAGGTGGGTGCGGAGCAAAGGAGCTCTCTGGGAAGAGATGAAATGGAGCCATCCCTTTGTACGAAAATCTTTCCCAAGTCGGTCACACGGACCCGCAGGAGAGCAAGTGCTCAGTGAGGTGCCGCTATCCGCACGGAGGAGGAGGAGCCAACAAGTACTAGCCCATGGGCCGCAGTGAGGGCTCCAAGAGATCACACCCTAGTGGAGAAATCCAAGAAGGGTTCCTAGTTCAGAGGCGGACGGGGGAGGCATCCTAGTGGAGGCACGCAGCGCAAAAGCTCAGAAGCAGGGAACACAGGACCCCTCTAGACTCTATCTAGAGCAAGGAGCTGCAGTGCAGGGCCCAGTGGGCAGCAGTGGAGGAGCAGGTGGGAAGGGGCCTACTTAGCATGTGGGCAAGACCAGCTTGCTCTAACTTCTGAACTCAGTGTAGGTCAAATCTCATAAGGAACGGAGAGTCACTGAAGGTGTTCAGACAGTATTGGGGTGGCCTCGTGGGTGCTTTTGCTGGCCAGTAAAGACAGCTTGACGGTAGTAGCAATTGATCCTCGGACAGGCCTGGCCCTTGGTGGATGAGTCTCATTCTGCACTTGTGCTGGGCAGCAGAGTCCTCATCCCTCCCTGCTCTGCAGCTAACTCACCGCAGCTCTCGGGGCAACGGTCTGGGTCTCAGGTTCCTCTTCTTTAAAAGGGGAAGAAGGATGCGACCAGTCTTAATTGAAGTTGCAGGGTCTAGAGGCCCCAAACCTTGTGCCCATTGGCCTGGCTTAGGAGGGTTTCCTGGGGCTAAGAAAGGATGCCAAGCTGTGTGAGACACACCTGGGGGCACCTGAGCTAGAAATTAAGGTGTGTGTGTGTGTGTGTGTGTGTGTGTGTGTGTGTTGGGGGTGAAAGGGGGTACGGGGGAGGCTTGGCATAGAATACTGTTTTTAAATCTCTGGTGAGCTTGGAGGAGGGATAGCAAGTAGGACTTGCCCAGGACCATGGTGAGTGAGGAGGAGTCGGGGGAGGCAGTAGGAGGCCAGCACTCAATGAAGTTCCAGGAGGAAGAGCTTTGGCTATATGGAAGGGCCCCCTGCTGGGGAAAGGGGTCCAGGACAGTGTGGGGCTGGCCTGGTCTACGTCCTGGGGCCCTGCAATGCTGTGATGCTGAGGTTCCAGAAGGGGAGCTGATGGGCACCCTGGAGATGTGAGCCAGCCTCCTTCTAGTCTCTTCCTTCTATGTTCTATCTATCTATCTATCTATCTATCTATCTATCTATCTATCTATCTTTCTTTCTATCATCTATCTATCTATCATCTATCAATTCTCTCTCTCTTCCCTCCCCCTTTACCTCCTCTCTCCCAAGTCTCTGACCACTTTTCTTCCAGGAGGAGGTGCCAAAGCGGGAGCAGGGTGCAAAGTACTCTGCAGAGACTGGGAGACTCATCCCTGCTTCCTCCCGAGCCCTTAGCACCCGCCACTCCCGCCAGGGCCGAGGGAGCCACCCTTCAAACAGAGATGGCGTCCAGACCTACATCCTACAGAATGCGGAGCTGCTGGTGAGACCCTGGGAAGGCCGGGGGCTGGGGCCCTGGAGCGGCCCTGTCCGCGGGCAGAGAACAGGGTGGTATACAGATCCCAACTAGGACTCTCACAAGCTGCTGGACAGTGTGGCCTCCACCCTGGCTACTTGCACCTGAGACTGTCAGATTCAGAAACCACAGCCCTGGGAGCCCGGAGCCTGGATTCGGATCCCTCATGCGTCCAGGGTTCTGTGGAAGCCTTGTCCTCTGTGTCCAGTCCTTTCCTCTCAAGGGCCTTTGGTTCCATGATTCAGTCAGACTGGGAGCATAAACAGGTCACCACTCAAGTCTGTCCCAGCGTTGGCACGTGGCACGTTACTGAAGGGAGCTGCAGTGGTGGGATGAGCTGCATGGAGAGGAAGGTCCCACCTAGTGTGTCCTCTGACCGCACCCCGGGGTGGGGCACCCTGCAGCCTGCAAGGCCGGTCCCAGCCCAGTCTCCCCTGAGAGGTGCCTGCTCTGTGCTGGGACAAGGCACGAAGCTGCCCACCTCCACATTCAAGCCTCCCATCGAGGTCTGAGATGAGTCCACGATGGTGCTAGTGGGTTAAGGCAGTAAAGTCCCTGTTATGCCGGTTTGGCTCAGTGGATAGAGAATCGGCCTGCAGACCGAAGGGTCCCGAGTTCAATTCCAGTCAAGGGCATGTACCTTGGTTGCAGGCTTCCCCTCAGTGCAGGCCCTGGTGGGGTCTCATACAGGAGGCAACTAATCGATGTGTTTCTCACTGATGTTTTCCTCTCTTTTCCACTCTTTCTCTAAAAATCAATGGAAATATATCCTTGAGTAAGGATAAAAAAAAGAGAGAGAGTCCCTGTTAAAATGCACGCACCTTCTCCAGGCAAGGCCAGACAATGAGCCAGCATCCTGAGCCCAGTGCTTTCAAAACAGTCAGCCCAGTGAAGTGAGCAGAGCAGACAGGGCCCAGGATCCCCACTTCACAGGTGGGGAGGCTGAGGCCCTGCCAGGTGCCACTCTGTGACCCAGGTCCCCAGAGAGCGAGCAGCGTAGCTGGGACTAGAACACAGTACTCTCTCCACCATTGGGCGGCCTCACCTTGCCTGGAAGTAGGTTCTCGGGTCCCCTGGGGAGGGTGCAGAGGGCAGGTAAGTTGGAAGTGGTGAATTGAGAAGGACCGTGGGGCAGAATGGGGCTGGGGTCACCGTAGGGAGGGGACCTGGGGGCAAAGGGTCCTGGGGAGAGGTGAGCCCACCTTCCCCTCTGACCACCACTGGTTCAGGCGGGCTCTCCTGAAAGAGGGAACCCCACTTTCCTAGGATGCCAGGTTGCTCCACCCCCCATCGCAGCCTCAACCTCCAGCCAGCCGTAGCCACAGCAGCCACCAGCGCCCCCGCCTACAGAGCCCCCGTAGCGTATACGAGACAGAGCTGGATCTTTTCCGAATGATCCTGGCCTGGAGAGCACAGAGGAGGAAGGGCCCTGAAGCAGCAGACGTGGCCGCGGCGGAGGACACGGCTGCGGGCAAAGCGGGGAAGGAGCTCCGAACCCTGCAGTTTGCAAAAACTGCTGGCCGCGGCCCTGGGGCCGCCCACCGGGAGCAGCTCGCCTCTTTGCTAGCATCTCAAGACTCTGAATTTAGGAACTTCCGGGTGGGGAGGCTCGTGGGGACCCTGAAATTCCCCCACCAAGGACTCGGGCGTTTGGGACTCGGTGCGTCTCTGAGGGGCTGAGTGTCCAGCTCTGACTTGGCCTTCCCAGGGAGGGACTCGGGGGTACGGCCCGCCCAGGCAGGGCTCAGAGATGAGGGCCCACATATCCGACTCTGAGGGCTAGGGCTGCCTCAGTCTCCCTGCTGGGCGCCCCCTCTCTCACAGCTCAGACTGTTCGCCTGCTCGGTGAGGAGGCCGAGAGCCTTTCTCCGGGGCCTTGGGAGAGGCAGCCCTCTGTAGCCAACGAATCCCAAGCAGAAGGGGGGCAAGGACCACTGCGGGGACCAGTTCAGCCTAGCACGTGGCTCCGGGAGCCGGCTTCAGGGCAGGCACCGGTGCTGCCGGCCGGAAGGTGCCGTCCACACACTGACCCAGGCCTGTCCTCCTGCCCACAGATCTTGGAGCTCCTTTGTCAGATCCTGCAGACAGATTCATTGAGTGCTATCCAGTTCTGGCTCCTCTACTCTCCTCCCAAGGGTGAGGCACAGCCCCAGGCCCGGGGCCTCCTCAGCTCCCACCCTGCCTTCTGCCGGAGCCCCACGCTAGCTCTTCCCAGCTGCACTTCGCTGCTCCCTCCTTCCGTTCCTCAGCAGGATTTCCGTGGTCCTGTTCCTTAGCAGGGACCCTTTCTCCCCGCTGATTGCGGACGTCGGCACCCGGGAGGGCGAGTCCGAAGCCTGGACTTAGCAGATACAGCCCCCTTCACCCACCACCGTGGGAAACACACACACACACACACACACACACACACAGATGCAAATAAACGCACATAGGAACACACATGAACGTGAACATAGGAATGCACATCTATGTACACACTGGGACAGGGAACAGAGAGTATGCCTAAAAGGGAGGGTGAGGAGTGATGAGAGCCAGAGATTGGAGAAGGCTTCCTGATGGGGAGAGGGAAGGGGGATGGAGGGGACAGGTCCCCTGTAGGGTTCCCAGAGTGGGCCAAGTGGTGTTGTGGGCAGGTAGGCCAGGACCACACGATACACATGAGGAAGGTGCAGAAGGGCTGGGCGCACAGCACACTCAGGGTACAGGGAGTAGGAGGGCCTGCCCGTGGGGCCCTGTGGGCAGAACACAAAACGACTGTGAAAGCTGCCTTGGGCCAGGGGTGGGCAGAAGAGCTGGAGGCCCTGCTCCATGCATGTCTTGTCTGGCGACAGGATGGGCTGGGGTCACGCCCCTGAGGACTCTGCTCCCTGTGCTTACAGAGAAAGCGTTGGCGCTGGGGCTCCTGCAGACAGCAGTGGCTCAGCTCCTTCCCCAGGGCCTAGACTCCATCCCGACAGAAAAACTGCTAAGCCAGCTCCAGGACATCCAGGAACCACCTTCAGAGACGCAACAGCCAAACTACAGGTGGGCCTCCCCCCTCCCTCCTGACCCTCTGTTCCCAGAACTGCCCCCTCCTGTCCAGCCCCTGTCCCTCCCGGTGAGGCTAGCGGGGTGCCGAGAAGGGAGCCTGGCACTGGCCGGAGCCGGGCGGACAGTCTGTCCTGGAGGAAGAGGCCAGCCCCCGCCATGGAACCCTCCGGGCTCTCTTTGCTGCTCAGAGGCCCCCTCTGCCAGGCCAGACTCAGCTGCCAGCCGTGGGGTGCCTGAGGGGGTCTGAGGTCACAGGGCTGGAGGAGCCGCAGCCAGCCCTCCGAAGCTCTCTGAGAAGGCACGGCAGAGCAGGAATGCTAACCCAGGCAGGTGGCAGGGCCTTTGTGTCGGTATTAAGCTCCCTGGGTGGCTGGAGAGAGAGAAGTCAGTTCCACGTTGGGGGAAAGGAGGGTAAGAGAGGCCTCACACAGCAGGTGAGGAGGGCCTGGCTGTCAGCACAGGAGCCTGCAGTGGTGAACACCCCCTGTATCTCCCGGACATCGCTGGTGCGCTGCCTATTTCTAGTCCACGCAACCACCCGTGGCGGCCCTCTGACCTCCATTCTACCCGGAGGAAACGGAGGCTCAGAAAGAACTGAATGACCCAGAGTCACCTGGGCGGGCGGCAGAAGAGCTGGGACCAGACGTGGGCTCGCCTCCTTACACGCCCAGCAGACTCAGATCCACAGGGGAGCTTGTGACGAGTGAAAATTCCTGGAGTCTGACACACAGGTGGGGTGGGGGTGGGGGCACCCAGGGGCTGTGCGTGGGTAACATCACCCAAGTATTCCTGATGGTACTTGGAGAGCACTGCTGGGTGAACAGGATTTGAACAGGCCGGAGAGAGGGTGAGAAGTGCCAGGAATGGAAGTCAGGGGATGCTGAGTTCCGGGGTGGTTGGAGCGCGAGGGGCTTGTGCTCACTTAGGTTTGCTCACTTAGGGTGTGTGGGCGCTCGCTTTGGCTCCGCAGGTGGTTTTCTTTGCCACTCCAGGGGGCCAGGGGAGGCCCGGGAGAGAGGCAGGCTTCACCGTGACCTTGGTCAAGACAGCTCCCATCTCTGAACCTCAGTTTTACCTCCCAAAAGCCCCTGTCCCCGAGGGTAGGGAGGAAAAATACATCAGGTACATAAAAAGGCTTACTGGAGTGCAAAGTCGATATAATGCAAGAGCGTTATTCATGCTTGTAAATACTTCATCAGGGAAGCAAGCTCTCATCTCCTCCGCTCCCAGGGGAAGGCTTCCTATCTGCGAGGAAACAAGAGACAGGAGGGCTTTGGGTCTTGCTTGGGTGGTGCTTGCTGGTTCTCAGGGAGGACTGGCTCCTGCCTCTTCCTGGAGCACCTTCCTCACCTCCTCGCCCACCCGCTGCCCTGCTATGGCGCAGTCCATTCTGACCTTCCCAGACCTCCTTTCCTCTGTGTTGGTTATAGCCTGTCCCCGAGGAAGTCAAAGACACCGCCTCTACCAAAAAGCGAGACACCAGGTAAGATTCCACACAGCAGATCCCTGCAGCTCACTGCTGTCCACCCTCGCTGGATTCCTTGGGGGACTTGAGGCTCCTGGGAGATAGGTCTCTGCCCAAGGAGGCTGCTCATTTCACCCATTCACTCACTCACTCACTCACTCACTCACTCAACGGAAACTCATTTAGTGCCTATTGCCAGGCTCTAGGGATCATGGGGAATCTTGGGGGCAGGGGAGTTGGGGGAGATGAGGGAAGAGGCTGAGACAGTCACTCTGGTGCCTGAGACCAAGGCAGGGGAGGGGAGTGGGCGTGGGAGGGGGGGAAAGGCAGGTGTTTCCATGTACTATACTCTCCCCTCACTGGACTGCGAAGGGTCCCGGGTGGCTGGCGGAGGGTCTGCACAGAGGAGGTCTGCACTGATATTGGTTCCCCTGATGCAGTGAGGCTCCGAGCACCTCCTAGTCACCGCAGAGCCCAGAGCAGAAGCTGGGTTGACTGGCCCTGGTGCATCTCCCTCTGCTCTCGCACCTCAGCCCCGGGCCTTGTGGGGAGGGGGGCCCACCTGAGTCTCCTGGGAAGCTCCCGGGTAGGGCCCGGCCCCTCCTTCCTCTCCTGCCGGCCGTGTCTCCCCTTCTCCCAGAGTACATCGGGAAAGCACAAGTTCTCCGGGTGCATCCAAGCCAGAGCTCAGAAGAGAAAGTGGTGAAGGCAGAGTGCTGAGGAGCGGGCGCCGCCTTACCCACTTTGCCCCAGAGCCAGCCCAGAGCTCAAGCTTAGCCCCGCCTGCTCCAAAGCCAGCCCAGGCTCCAAGCTCGCACCAGTCTCCTCCACTGCCTCAACAGCAATACGTTCTTCCCTATCACATTGAGCCCATTAAAATAGCACCTTCCCTCTAAGAGGACAGGTCCACTCTCCTATCCGCAGCAGGCCTGTGCGTGGGGCATTTATTCCCTGAGAAGGGGTGAGCTGCAGGGTATTCCCCCATCCCTTGGAGAATGCCCGAGTGCCAGCATGGGGCTTACCCGGTTCTCTCACATCCCAGGGAACTGACGGGCAGAAAGTGGTTAAGAGGCCCGAGAACAAAGATCTGCCACTCTCTGAACCAAGACACACAGGGCTCGGGGTAGATTAGAGCAGAGGTCAGGCGTCCACAGGCCTCCCTGAAATAGTCATCGATATCAGTTATTGAATTCCTATCAGGCATCGTGGCAGGGGCTTCAGTACTAGTTAATGAACTCTGTTAACTGACCCCAAAAAAAGTCAGTCTAGCTTTGGGTGGATATAAATGACACCGATTTACTCAATTCAGATGGATTAAGTCCCTGAGGGTTTTCCCCAATACTCCAGTCACAAAACTTTTTTTTTTTTTTTTGCAAACTGGAAACACAACTAGGCAATACCCAGCTTGTTCCAAAGGAGAAAGAAAAGCTGGGGGGGTTCTTTTTTTTTTTTTAATATATTTTATTGATTTTTTACAGAGAGGAAGAGAGAGGGATAGAAAGTTAGAAACATCGATGAGAGAGAATCATTGACCAGCTGCCTCTTGCACACCCCACCGGGTGTGTGCCTGCATCCAATGTACATGCCCTTGACTGGAATCGAACCCGGGACCTTTCAGTCCGCAGGCCGATGCTCTAGCCATTGAGCCAAACCAGTTTCGGCAAGCTGGGGGTTCTTAATAGTAAACAATACATCCAGGTCTGCACTCTTTGCCCCGGGATTGGTCCAGGATGATGGCTGTCTGATGTCTGATGGTCTAGACCAGTGGTCGGTAAACCACAGCTTGCGAGCCACATGCGGCTCTTTGGCCCCTTGAGTGTGGCTCTTCCACAAAATACCATGTACCCTAATTAAGTTAATAACAGTGTACCTACCTATATAGTTTAAGATTAAAAAATTTGGCTCTCAAAAGAAATTTCAATCAATTTATTGTTGATATTTGGCTCTGTTGACTAATGAGTTTGCCGACCACAGGTCTAGACAATGGCACAGTTTCTTCTTGAGGCCATTCAAATGGTTAACTGAAGGTTTGATGCATGGCCAGGCATTAACACACAATGCATTGGTGCCCATCCAGGTATTGACGCAGGACTGGGAAGTTCAAAACTTTTAAGTTCCCAGCGTCAGTCAGAACAAGAGTAATTGTTGTCTGGTGCCTCAGCCTACTTAATTTTAATAATTTAGCAGCTTGTCTGTAATGACTCCATTTTATTTCTTCACTCTATTCCTCAAACACTGTGTGAATTGTTCTACATACTTTATATGGAGTACTGTGTTTATTCTCCCAAAAGCCCTATGAGGTAGTGGGTTAATATTATAACTCCCATTTTATAGATGAATAAACCGGAGCTCAGAAAGATGAAATAACTTGTCCACAGCCACATAGTAAATGGCAGAGCCCAGATCCAAACCCAATGTGTCTGGTTTTAGAATTCCCCACTGTACTCCACAGCCTTACACACCGCAGCCCTCACTAAAGGCTGAGGTTGCATATGGTTTAGCTAAACGGTGGTTGATAAGATCAAGAGAGAAAAGGACATTATTCTATAAACGTGATTCGGATGCACCCAAGGTGTCTCTGTCTTTAAGATCTAGAGAAGATGGCCTTGACTCTCTAGAAAGTCCAATGTCATCCTTGAGATTTCTGCCAATTCCATGAAGGGTGAGGGGAGAAAGGCACTGAGGATTTACAATGTCAAAGTCACTTGTGGCTGTCAGCTTCCACTTCTACTGAGTTCAGTCCATGGATTGTGGCTCCATTCCACAACACTGCTCCACCTCACATCAATTCAGATGGATTAAGTCCCTGAGGGCTTTCCCCAATACTCCATTCACAAAACTTTTTTTTTTTTTTTTTTTTAAATAATCCTTACCTGAGGAGTGAGGTTATTTTTTCCATTGATTCTTCAGAGTGTGTGGAAGGGAAAGGGGGAGGGGAATAAGCATGTGCTTATTCCTGGAGCCTTCATTCAGCTTGGCCTCAGGTGTGGCATCTCTAGGTGAATCTTCCAGTGGTTTTGATTGAGAACCTTTCCAGGTTTCTCCATCAGAGGCCCATTCCCGGCTACTTTTACTTGCTCTGGGCCACCGAATTGTGCAAAAGGAAATAAAAATGACAACAAAGATGCTGTCATAGTAACTGTGTTTTAGTTTTGGCTGAATTGGTTGTGAAGGAGTGAAAACCTGAAGACGATACAAGCACGGAAATCAACTTGGACCGGAAAACACAGAGCCCTGCCATTCCCCAGGCCGGCTGCGGGGCAGACTCAACGCGGGCTGCAAGGTTACAGGAACTTGTGTTTCAAGCTGCTGCAGCCGCTGTGCAAGGCCACAGTCACCCCCTATTTGAGTTACTGTGGCCTTCGTACCCAGGAGACCCTCAAAGCCCTGTGGCTTTTTGGTTTATTCCCGGCAATACCCAATTGTTAACCCATCCTGCCTCCTGACAGCACCTGCTCCCCAGTTAATCCTCATTTCCCCCAATCCTGCCTCAGAAAGCCACCAGCCCAGAACTGGTATTTTCAGGGGGAATCCAAACCTCAGAAAAGTCACCCTCCGCCCCTGTCCAGCGCCACTCCAGGCCACCTTGATGCCCCAAGTCAATCAGTTTGACTTTGTTGAAACACAGGCTTGCCCTCTGCCATCTCTGGCTGTTTCGCCTCTGGGAGCTGGTGTTACATCGGTGTAGCCCAGCTGTTTTTTTCCACTCGGCTCAGCTTTTGTTTACCATCAGAGGTAATTAACCCAGGTAATGATTGCTTGGGTGTTTTCTTTCTGCCAGCTGGAAAGGGGAGGGAAAGTGCTATTAGCAGCTCTCCCAGATCTACCTCGTGGTTGTTTTTTTAATCTTCATGGAGGCTGTTTTTGTTGATTTTAGAAAGAGAGGGAGAGGGGGAGGGAGAGGAGAAATACTAATGTGAGAGAGGAAACATTTACCAGTTGTCTCCCGTACACTCCCCAAGGAGGATGGACTGAGGATCAAACCCACAACCTAGGAAATGTGCCTTTACTGAGAATTGAGCCTGCAATCCTGCTATGCATGGTTCTACAGCAACCAATTGAGCCACACCACCCAGGACTGTCCACTACTTCTAAGATAGGGGGCACCCCAACATAGCTGCCCATGCAGGAAGGTGAGCAATTATCCAGTCCCAATCATGGCCAGCACTTGGGTGAAGGGCCAAGGAGCAGTGTACACCTCCCAGGGTCTCTCCCTAATCCCTGTCAGGGAACAGCTGTGGTGGCACTTGGCCCTGCCCCCAGCGAGATGTCTGTCCCGGGGAAGTCCCTCCTCCCTTTGGGCATCAGGACAGCCCTCAGCTCACTTAGGACCCTTCTTACTTGGAAGTTTGTGATTCTAAGTTCAAACTATAGAATTAAATGGGTATCCCGGTAATAAAAATCACTAACGTTTGTTAAAGGCCTTTGATGCCCCTGGCACTATGCTTAGCATTTAATACACATTATCCCATTTAGTTCTTGTAATGAGATTAAATATTACTGTTAACTCCCCCTCCCCTTTTTAGGTGAAGAAACGAGGCAAAGAGAGATTAAATGACTTGTCATAGCTAGTAAGGGGCAACCAAGCATGTAATCACATCGCATCCTGTTTTGCTAAGTATCATGGAGAGATCAAAAATAAACTGAGGCACAGAGAGAGACATGACTCTCCTCAGTCACACAGGCAGAACCCTCTTTGGCTCCTCTTTTTAAAGCTGCTAACAGCACTCCCTCAAAACCAGTCTAGCCAGGGCAAAGGGAAGGCGTTCCTGCAGGGTCCTAGCCCTTTACAGTAACCTGACCTCAGGCTTGAAGAGAAAGGGGAAGGAGGAGAGGAGGAGGAGCTCCAAGCAAAGATGCTGTGTGGGTGGCTCTGAGACTACAGCAACCAGCTGAGCCCACCTTGGTCCATCCCGCTCAGCAGACCAGGGGGCAGCATGTTGATAAGCTTCCTCTGAGCTTTGGAGTATTTATTCTTTGTTAACACTTAAAGCTCAGGATTTAAGATTTCTCTTAAGACATCAGAAGCTATGGAAACTCTGGATCCTGGTCCTGCTGGTGTAAGCTCTCATTCACTAACTTCCCCACCCTCATTTACGAGATTTGCCTGGAGTCTGGGCATCCTGCTCTGGACACACATGTCGTCCATTTGTGGCACATTTCAGCTCATTCATGTCCACCGAGTCAGCTCTCCAGCTCTTCCTGCCCCTTAAGCTCCACATCCCCGTAACAATGCCCCTCCCCCCCCCCCCGGACAATTTGGCTCTTGGCTGGAACAACAGCCCAATGAGCACTGAGTTCCACCATCTGTTTTATAGAAGCTGAGCCCTAGAGAGGGAAAGGTTTTGCCCACACTCACGGAGCAGGGAAAGTCCCCTGTGGAGCATATTTTATTGCATCCTAAATTACAGGGTGTTAGCAGTTAGGAATCCAATTCCATTCACTGCAAACGGTGTTGATTGGCAGCTTAGTTTTACCTACGTAATGGCCAGGACTATTGAGCCCTGACCACATTTTAATTCTACAGCTACTTGGCAGAATGGAAGGATAGATTTGGTGGCTTTAGAGCCAGGCTCAGCCACTCCGTGTCACCTTCTGCAGTTCCTTCATTACCCTGAGCCTCAGCTTCTGCTTTTATATGAGAACTAGAGGCCCAGTGCACGAAATTTGTGCATGGGTAGGGTCCCTAGGCCTAACTGGTGAACAGGGCTGATCAGGGCCTTTAGGGTGCTGGCCAGGGCCTTCCTTCCCTTGGCTGCCGGCTTGGGCCTTTCTTCATTCTGCGCCGTCCCCTGGTGGTCAGCATACATCATAGCAAGTGGTATATTAGCCTTTTATTATATAAGGTTCTTCTCAGCCAGAGCACCAGATTAACCAGTAAGTGGATTATCTGGCTCTGATTTCAATACTAAGAACCTCTAGCCCTTTTCTTTTTGCAAACACTGTCACTCACTGGGTGCCAGCAGGTGGCCTGCACACAGAATTCTAGGCATGTGTTTTGTCAACTGCATGATCTCCCCCCTCAGTTGCTATGGAGAGATTGTCTACACTTTTCTGGTTGTGTGACATAGGCAAGTGGCTCGACCTCTCTGAGCCTGTTTCCTCATGGGGTTGTAAGGATTTAGTGAGATATTGGGTGAAGGGCATAGCACAGTGCCTGGCCTTATAGTATGTGTTCAATAAATGTTAGCAATATAGCCCCCTAAACTCAAGTACCCATTTCTATAAATTAATCTGGAATGACAGCCATATTGCTATCACCATACTTTCTTGACAATACTTTATACAAGGGACAAGCTGACATTTACCGATGGGTCCCACGATTACTCTCCCATATTCCCCTACCATCTTCACAACTGCCCATCCAAGGAGCAGGTCTGCAATGGCTTTCCCCGTCGTGCAGGGG